CTAGAGGCCGCCCCTGCGTTTCCCCACCACTCACGTGGGCCCGTGGAGGAGGAGTGGAGCGTTTCCCGGCTCGCTGATTGGCCAGGCGCCATAGATTGACCGCGACGTCCAGGGTTGGGGAGGCGGGCTCTGCTCCAAAGAGCTATGCTGTGATTGGACCAAGGGGAACTGATGGAACGCAGATGGCGGGTTCCAAGGGGGCGTTCTCAGCCCCGCCAGTGCTACACGCTGATTGGCTCAAGAAAGACTGATAGACTGGGCAATTGACAAGGTTCTGGGGTCTCCTGCCTAACACTGATTGGCCTACAAGGGACTGATGGAGGACAACCTCGGAGGATTGGGGTGCGTGGGCTCTGCTTTCTGTTGATTGGAGAATAAGGGACTCCTAGACCGCTGCCAAAACACAAACGGGGCGGTGCTGACCTCCATGCTGCTCAGCGGAAGCAGGACTTATATGGAAGTGGGCGTAGCAGCCGGCAGGAAAGGGGTCGGGCCAGGGCTCTGTGTAGGCGGGCAGGGTAACTCTATCGCGATTGGCTAGAAAAGACAAATTTAGAACGAAGCAGAGGCAGTAAGGCAGGAAAGCTGCCAGACAAGCGAAGGAGCAGAGTGGTGTAAACTAAACGCTGAGGAGGGCAGGGTCGAGCTGCAGCCAGAGTTATAAAGGGGTTGAACTTGGCTCTGTATTTATTGAAAGCTGGGCACAACCTAGAATAGGGATCGAGCCTGGGAGGGCAGGATCTGGCTCTGTGCCCATTGGTGGAAATTGGAACTATTTAGAAGCAGTAGCGAGGACAATCTGGGCTAAGCTGGGCATGGGTGTAATTTAAGGTACCTGAGGAATGATTGGGGTGTGGGAGAGGGGTAAACCTTAGGGCCTTAGGAATGAAAGGCTGATTGCCTTGGGAACAAACCTCCACCCTGAATTGGCTGGTTCTCCATGAAAATTAAAAGTGGTGTCCAAGGAAAAAAAAAGGGTCAGATGGGGGCCCAGGTTGCCAAGGCAACGGAAAAGAGGGCAGAGCAGTAGGTCTAGTTGCAAATGCTACCAGGTAACAGGCTGGAGGCAGGACTTCAGGAGCACCTTAAAGGTTCCACACAGAGATAGGATCTCTGAGCCTCGTAACTTTGTGCTTTAGAAACGGAGCACCTTAGCAAACAGTAGGGGTTAAGGGGAAAAAGAAGGGCCGTGTGACTCAAATAGGCATTCAGGCTCTTTAATGTCTAGAAAGGGGGGAAGTCAATGGCGAGGCTCCTCCGGGATATTCTGCAGGCCTTGTAGTTCTCTAAGCCCCTGAAAAAGAGGACAGAAGAGATTGAACAGCGACTAGGTTTAGGTCCTGTCCCAGGCTTGCTCTGACCTCTCCTCCCTCAGAGCCACTCTGGCTCCAACTTGGCTCCAGTTTAGAGGGACAGATGGGCCTTCCAGTTTCTGGCTCTCTCCCTTCCTCAGGTCACCACCCTAAATGCATTTGGAGACTGAGTCTGGGAATGGGGTGAGCTGCTCTCACCTCTAGCAACATGTGGATATGGGCTTTGATATTCATTGAGTCCTTGGTGAGGCTGTCGCTGAGCCTGGAGAAAAGAAACAAGAAAGTGGGCCCCATGATCATGAGGATGAGGCTTCCTCATCACTTCAAGAACTACCTATGTCCTAGGTCACTTCCACATGGCACATGGTAGGACATCCCACTATCTGATCTCACCACCATCTGAACTACACTAACTCAAAGACATTTATTGAATCCCTACTCTATGCCAGGTGGTATTAGGTACTGGGGAGACAGCAGAAAACAGCAAAAATCTCAGCCTCGTGAAGCTCAAATTCTCATTTAGAGGGACAAATGATGGAGTAAAATACAGAGTATGTTAGATGGTTCTAAGTATGAAGAAAAAAATGAGACGAGAATTAGGAGTACAGGAGTGGGGGCTGTAATTCTAATTAGAGTGCTTAGGGATGGTTTCCCTGAGAAGCATTTGAGTAAAGACTTAAAATGAAGAACTGAATCATCTGGATATAGGGAAGATGAGTGTTCCAGACATAAGGGGCAGCAAATGCAAAAGTGCCGAGGTGGAGGTGTACCTGGCATATCTGAGGCACAGCAGAGGCCAGTGTGGCTGGAGAAGAATAAGCGAAGGCGGATTGCAGGCGGTGAGGTCAGAGAGGTAAGCGGGGGAGGCAGATATGTAAAACCTACCAGGTCATGGTAAGGACTCTGGCTTTTAGTGTAAGTGGGATGGGAGCCAGGTTGTGATCACAGCAGGGATGTGAAGTGAATAAGGTTTTAGAGGATCCATCTGACTGCTGTATGGAGAATTGACTGGGGAAGAGAGCTGGTATGGTAGCAGGAAGTCCAATGAGGAAGCTACTACAACAGTCCAGGTGAGAGATGGAGACTCAGACCACAGTAGCAGCAGTTGAGGTGATGAGAAATCATTGGATTTGGAATATATTTTGAAGGTAGAGTCAACAGGATTTACCAAAGGGTTGGATGTTGGGTGTAAGGGAGAGGGCTCAAGAAAGGCCTAAGCAACTGGGAAGCTGGAGTTGCCTGAAACCACTTTGGCCCTGGAATGTTGAGTTACATAAACCAGTGGATTCCTTACATAAGCCAAATGGGATCAGTTTCACAACTCAAGTGCCCATCAGTAGATGAGTGGATAAAAAAGCTGTGGGACATTTACACCATGGAATACTATGCAACTGTAAAGAAGAATCTCGTACCGTCTGGGACAGTATGGATGGACCTGGAGAATATTATGCTAAGTGAAATAAGCCAGGCAGAGAAAGACAAACATCATATGATCTCGCTTATATGTGGAATCTAAACTTAATAAACTGATGAACAGAATAGATTCAATGACATAGAAGCATAGATCAGACTGACGAATGTCAGAGGGATGGAGGAGGGCGAGTGGGTGGAGGGGGAGAGAGTAACCAAAGAATTTATATGCATATATGCACAACCCAAGGACACGGACAATGATGGGAAGAGGGACTGGGGAGGGGGATGGGACAGGGTGGAACGGGTCATTGGGGAGAAAAAGGGACATCTGTAATATTTTAAACAAAAAAAAAATTAAAAAATTCTCATTGACACAAAGGGTCAAGGGAGGCCTTTCTGAAGAATGAAGAATGAGTAAGAGTTAAACAATAGGAAGGTCTTTTCCACAAAGAAGGCCAAGAGGCAGGAAAGAGCTTTTTGAGGAGCAGTCAGGCCAGAGTATTAGAAAATTAAGTGAATGATAGAAGAAAATTGGTATAAAGTCCAAGAAGTAGGAAGGGGCTATATCATGTAGTATCTTGATATCATAAGGAATGTGGACTTTATTGTGCTGAGCTATCTGTAAATGTAGGAGTCAATTTTAGGGAAACTAAATACTGTAAGAAAGCAGAAGACAACAACATAGGATGCTAAATTAGAAAAAAAATAGTATAAACCCATTTATATATCAGTATCTCCCAAACTCAGATTTTCAGTTCAGACCTCTCTCCTGAACTCCAGCCTTGGGAGTTTTAACTACATCTTCAAAAACTCAACTTCAGCCTGGCCAGGTGTGGCTCAGCGGTTGAGCGTCGACCTAGGATCCAGGCGATTGGGGTTCGATTCCTGGTCAGGGCACATGCCCGGGTTGCGGGCTCGATCCCCAGTCAGGGGGCGTGCAGAAGGCAGCAGTTCAATGACTCTCTCATCATTGATGTTTCTATCTCTCTCTCACCCTCTCCTTTCCTCTCTCTGAAATCCATAAAGATATATATTAAAATAATAATAATAATAATTTAAAAAAAGCAAAAAACAACAACTCAACTTCAATGTTTAATAAGCACCTCAGATTGAACTCCTGATCTTCCCCTCCAAATCTGCTCCTCCCCTATCTTCTCCATCTTAGATAATGGCAACTCATCCTCCCAGTTGTTCAGTCAAAAACCTGACTCCTCTTTCTCTCACACCCCACATCCAATCAAGCATTCTATTTAAAATTGCAACTGCAACTTTTTAAATCTGCATTCCATGCTGTTCTCTGAAGCATTGTCAACCTGTGACACACTATATCATTTACTTGTTTGTCGTCTGTCTCCCCTGACTAGAATGTAAACTGTGTAAGATTTGGCAGAGATTTGGTCTGCTTTGTTTCCTGCTGTATCCCCGGGAACCAAAACAGTGTGTGGCACATAGTAAGCACCCAATGTATGTTGAAGGAATAAGTGAATGACTATTGCACTCAAAGGAACCTGAAGTCCTCAAAAGATGGTTGAGTCTATGTTTATGGACAAGAAATAGAGGATGGTGTTGTTGCCAGAAAGCAAGAAGGCTTTCAAGAATATCTAGGGTAGTGATCAAAGAACAGAGGAACAAAATTGATCAGCTTGAGCCCTTGATCAGGGACAATTTGAACATTAAAGAGAATAAAATAACTTACTGGTATAAGCTTAGTTT